AGATCAGCAATTTGATCTTCTGACCTGCAATACATCAATTTCACCTCTCCTCCTTCTTGCACTTCCCTAAGAAAGTACAATTTGATATTAAAATGCTTGATTTTACCATGAAAAACTGGATTATGAGAAATTGCTATGGCTGCCTGATTATCCACAAACACTTATGTGCTTGCTTGTTGCTCCAGATCAAGATCTAACAGGATTTTCCTTAGCCAAAGAGCTTGATTAATTGCTGCAGTTGCAGTAATGAATTCAGCTTCTTCGGTTGACTGTGCTGCGATTTCCTGCTTCTTTGAGCACCATGAAAAACATCCTGAACCAATGCAAAACAATAACCCGAAGTGCTTTACATATCATCAACTGAACCTGCCCAATCACTATCAGAATAACCTTGCAGCTTGAAAGTATGACACTTAGAGAACTTAACAACATAGTCTAAAGTTTCCTTGATGTACCTTATAACTCTTTTGGCTGCTTTCATGTGCGTTTCACTCGCACAATTTAGAAATCTGGACAATACACTTACTGCCTGAAGAATATCAGGTCTAGTGGCAGTGAGGTACATAAGACATTCAATCATACTTCTGTAACTAACCTCATCAACCTTGTTACTACCATCATCCTTGACCAGCTTCTCTTTCTGATTTATTGGAGTGTTCATAGGCTTGCAGTCTTCCATTATGAACTTCTTCATAATATCTCTTGCATACATCTTTTGGCAAATGAACACTTCATTTTGAGTTTGATGAATCTGCATTCCAAGAAAGTAAGACATTTCTCCCAAGTCTGTCACTTCAAATACTTTCTTCATCTCTGCCTTGAAGTCCTCGATCATTTCAAGGTTGTTTCCTGTTACAAGAAGATCATCTACATAAAGTGATATAATCACAATATCAGAATCTCCTTTTCTAATAAAGAGAGTTGATTCACTTAGGCTTTTCTTAAAACCTAAGCCTTGCAAATGCTCATCAATTCGACTGTACCAAGCCCTAGGAGCGTGTTTTAAACCATAAAGGGCTTTCTTCAATAGGTAAACTTTATCTTCATGCCCCCTTACAGAAAAACCTTGAGGCTGCTCCACATAAATCTGCTCTTGCAGAAAACCATTTAAAAAAGCTGACTTGACATCTAACTGAAAGATTCTCCAACTTTTTTAAGCAGCAATAACTAGTAACAATCTTATAGTATCAAGTCTAGCGACTGGAGCAAATGTTTCCAAATACTCAACTCCAAAAATCTGTGAGTAACCTTTCACAACAAGCCTAGCCTTGAGCTTGTTAACAGAACCATCAACATTTAATTTAGTGCAGTAAACCCAGTTCACACCAATGATCTTCCTATTTGAGGCTTTTCCACAAGCTGCCAGGTCTCGTTTTTCTCAATCATTGCAAGCTCCTCCTGCATTACAGCTTGCCACTTAGGATATGAAATGGCTTCCTCGAATCCAGATGGCTCTAAAATAGCCACATTGCATCTCTGGTAAATGTCAGAGAGTAACCTCGTTCCTCTCATAGGTTGATGATCAATGCTTTCATCAGAATCGGGTAGATTGTTTGTAATTTGCTTCTGCTTACCTTCTTCCCAATCCTATTGCTCATTCTCCATAAAAAATACATCTCTCCTTATCACAATTTTTCATGTATGAGGCTGCAAAATTCTGTAAGCTTTAGAGACCGTGCAACCAATAAACACTCCAGGTTCAGCTTTCTTGTCTAACTTGTCTCTCTTAACATGTGGAATATAAGACAAATACAAACAGCCGAAGATCTTTAAGTTTTTTAAGGAAGGTTTGTACCCATGCCATGCCTAAAAGGGTGTCTTTCCCTCCACTGCCTTTGTAGGTAACCTATTCAGCAAAAAAACAGCAGTGTTAGCTGCTTTTGCCCATAAATTCTTTGGTAGGCCCTTCTCATATAACAAGCACCTCGACATCTCCATTATCGTCCTATTCTCCCTTTCACTAAACCCATTCTGTTGCGGAGTATATGGGGCAGTGAGTTGATGCTCAATTCCTGCATTTTCACAGAACTTTTCAAATTGATCTGATGTGTACTCAGTACCATTATCTGATCTCAGCATTTGTATCCAGCAACCACTTTGATTTTCTACCGAAGCTTTGAATTTCCAGGACACTTCAGGTACTTCAGATTTGAACCTAAGAAAATATATCCAACACATTTTTGTCATAACATCAATGAATGCTATGAAATATTTACTTCCGTTGAGAGAAGCAGTCTTATGTGGTCCACACAAATTGGTATGGACTAATTGAAGTTTCACTGATGCTCTCCAGGTTGCCTCGGGAAAAGGCATCCTGCTTTGCTTTCCCAATTGATATGTGATGCAGCTTGAGAGTTCCTCCTCCATAGGTGGTAGTCCCTAAATCATATCTTTCTTCGACATGTAAAAGAGTGCCCTCTGATGGAAATGCCCGAGTCTCTTGTGCCATACATCTGCAGTTATCACATGGCTTGGATAGGCAGCCAACTTTTTCTCCATTGGATCAAAGGAAAAACTTCTTCCTCTCATTTTAACTCGACAGACTTCTTGACCCTTTGGATCAAAGATCACACACATCCTGTCCTAAAAAATAAGCTTGAAACCATTCTCCAAAAATTGCCCTACGCTCAACAAATTTTGATCAATTTCAGGAACAAAGAGCACATCCGTAATTAACTTTGTACCTGAGTAACTTTCAGTAGCTATGGTGCCTTTCCCTTTGGCAGGAAGATAATCACCATTACCAATTTTGACTTTAGAGGTTAATTGTCTAACACTTTGAAATATTTCTCATCATGAGTCATATGATTTGTATAACCACTGTCAATTAACCAACTTTTACTTGAACTTTTGCTTGCAAAACATGTCGCCACAAACAATTGCTCTTTGTTGGTTCTTGATAAAAGAAATTAAGGGAAATAACCGGGGAAGATGACAGGAAAATAAAAAGAGTATACTGGAATAGATGTAAAAGGAACTGAAGCTGAAAATTCTATTTATTTTACTGCATTTTGGACTACAATTTATAAGAGAAATACTAACTTAAAAGACCTAAAAATCAGCACAAAATCTACTGAAAATAACAAACTCCTAGAGACTAGTTCACTCCTAAAGACTAGTTCAAAATTATTTCAAATTCAAACTAAATTACTGCAGTAAATAACTCTTAAGTTGAAACAGTAAAATAATTTTACTGAGAGCAGCTTCTAAAGCATATTTCTAACACTCTTCCTTGCTTTTGAAGCTGCAAATTCTGAATTTGTGCCTTGTAAACCTTTAACTGGAAGCGACTTTGTACGTAAATCTGCCAACTGATCTTTGGACTTGCAGTAAATTGAGTTCAATTTTCTATTTTGCTGCATCTCATGATTGTCAATGAAATAAGTTGGCTCTTTTTTCGGCTTCATTTTGACTTGAGGCTTGTCAACTTTCTTCCACATTTGCATTTTGCCTTGAGGCTTGTCAACTTTCTTCCAAATTTTGTTTTTCTGAAATATTGACAACTTCTTTGTCTCATTTTCACATATGTCCTCTTTTGGAGGATTATCTGCACTTTGTAGATTCTTTGGGCTCCATTCTTCGTCTTCGGTTGGATCAAATGAGAAGTTCTACCTCTCATTTTAAACCTTAAAATCTCAAGTCCAGTTGCATCATAAATGAAACAATATTTATCTTCAAAGGATACTTTAAATCCTTTTTCCATTAGTTGTCCAACACTTAATAAATTTTGATCAATATCAGGAATATAAAGAACATCTGAAATTTTCTTAGTTCCTGACTTTGTTGGGATTGCAACAGTTCCTTTTCCCTTAGCAAGAATATAATCACCATTTCCAATTCTGACTTTCTTATTTCCCATAGACGTGAACTCTTTGAAAAGATTTCTGTCATATGTCACGTGGTTTGTACAGCCACTATCAATCAACCAAAAATCAGATTTTTTGGTTGAAAGAATAGTTGCCACAAACAAGTGATCTTCTTCTTCTTCTTCATTGGCGACTTGGGCATCTGCTTCATGCTTTTGATATTTGCCTTTGCAAATTATAGCTTCATGACCAAGTTGGTTGCAAATTTTGCACTTTGTATCTGGCCTCTTCCAACATTTGAACGGTGGATGACCTTTTTTGCCACAGTGCTGACAAGGTGGGTAATTTTTCTTTACATTATTACCCTTGCTTTGAGTTTTGTGGTTGGCTGCCAAGGCTCCTTCAACCATACCATCTTGCCTCATAAGCCTCCTTTGCTCTTGTGCCTGCAATGTATTTAACAATTCTGCCAAGGTAATCTTGGATAGATCCTTTGTATTTTCCAAGGTAGTTATGGATACTTCATATTTTTCAGGCACCGTAACAAGAATTTTTTCAACAATTCTTGAATCTTTAAATTTAGTACCAAGCAATCTTACCTTGTTAACAATGCCAAGCAACCGATCTGAGTATTCTTTGACAGTCTCAGATTC